GAACTTTATTAATTCAGTTGAAAGGCAAAGATCTAGATAAAATGACCAGTGAAGACCAAATGCAAAGACCGTGAGTCAGGTGTGCAGATCATAAAGAAGCTTCCAAATCCATATTGTACTTAGAGGGTGTGGAGATGAAACCAGGGAAGTAGACAAGGGACTCAACTTGTAAACCTTTGTGAAGAGGCCTGAGTAGAAGCCATGCACAAGAGCTACAGGAAGATATGTGCTCCATTTAGTTTTGAAAAGGTACTATGCAGATAACTGCGATAGGTAACAATAAAATAAATTACACAGGAACATGGACCAACTAATAGATATATGCTAATCCACAATAGGAAAATAACGGTAGAATGTGGCTACACGCACTGTGATATTCACTGGAAAATTCTTTTGGCTCTACATAGGATTGAACAGTATCAAAATGTGGCAGGAAGAATCAATACCTGGCACCAGGGTAGACTTCAAAGGATCCGCAAACAACCTGGAAGTAAACTGTGAGAACAAGTAAAGAGAGATTCGTTGTTTTGTGTCATAAAAACAAGAAGAAGAAGAAGAAGAAGAAGAAGAAGAAGAAGAAGAAGAAGAAGAAGAAGAAGAAGAAGAAGAAGAAGAGTGAAGACATTGACTGAGACAGAAATTACCAGAAAAAGAAAGGTTCTATCATGCATACAAGTTTAATGTACTATCTTTAGGTGTCAAGCCCAGATGTCAAGTCATCAGAGGCACATGTCAAGTAGTGGTACATGAGCTGGAGAGTCCAAGTGTGGAAGAGCCGAGAGCCCTTCTCATGGATGGTATATTCCTCCATGAGACTAAGAGGGCAATTTTAGAAGTGTGAGCTAAAGCTTAAACACTAGAGTAAAATATAGGGGAATTCAATGATAGATCTTACAAACTGGGCAAAAATACTTCAGCAAGTGCTAAGGTTGGCAGCCCAAGTTACTTCAGCTCTCCTTTGAGTTAAAGAAGTGTTTTGGTGAGTACGTCACTCTGTGTTGTTGCTATTTTACATTTTATGATGGTGTGACACTGTACTAAAACACTGAGATGGTCCCTAGAAAATTATCTTTAGCATATTATAATCATTCACTCTTTCTTCAAACATATTTTAAAAGAAGAAGAAAATAAATATTGATGTCAATGTATCTACTTAGGGTATTAGCTCTATACCTAGGGACACAATAGGAAGTGTAACAATTATTTTAAAATAAATCAATAAATTGGTATTATATAACTTCTTTCTTCTTGAACTCAAAGCTGGAGACTCTTGTTTCATAAAAAATACAGGATTCCTACAAGGCAAGTTAACATAAAGTTATATAACATTTTATAAAAGAAAAGTGAAGACATCAAAACCCTAACTGGATATACCTGAAGTTTAAATATCAACATACCATGATCAAATATAGATTTTTCTACATCATTTTTCAACAAACACCACCATTGATCTTCTTTTTTCAAGTATTTCTCTAATTCCTTTTACCAAAAGGAGGAATGAAGGAAAGGAAGCAGTAGAACAAGAGTAGGAAAGGAGGAAGAAAAGGAAAAGATGCATTAGATAAAATCCTACTCTAGTATCCTTCATAAACCAAACTGCATGTGGAGAATCCCTATATATTATCTAAATTCTTAAGTAGCTAGCACCATATCTCCCACATGTCCAGAATCTCCCTTCATTACTGTATATGTATCCACATTTATGAAATGTGCTATGTAGCCACACAAAATAGCTTCATTTTGTAAATGAAGCTATTATGTTTAGCAAAGGTGTGGTTAGAACTGTCCTTTTTGTAGAATCATGACTTTTTCTTTATGATAGGCTTATTTAATGCTCTAAGCAATCCTTTTGATTTATTGTCCACATGGTGCCTAACATCAAAGGTTATTCAAACAAAGCCAATTCAAACATGATATTACTGTGTAGCTGCAAGAACAAATTTCAAGTTACTTACAGGTAATTTAAGTTCTGAAGTAGGCTACATATGGCTGTGATAATGAACCCATAGCTGAAAGAAGCACTGTAACAAAATATATAAACCTATGTAACAGATATGTACTATGCCCTACATGATCTTCATCCCCTCATTTGAGGCTAGTTATAGATTAAAAAGGAAAAAAAATCACTTTAAGAACATTTTTAAAATTATTATAAAACTCTCAGTAGAATAAAGCATGAAATAAAGATGGGGTTAAAAATCTTGTGATGGTTCACATTATTTTCCAATAAATGATAAAGAAAAACTATTGCTATGTAAAAACAAAGAAAATTTAGACTACAAAGGCTAAATCTCAACACCTATCCTACATAATCATAGAAAACAAAATGATTATGATTAATTAACCTGGATCAAATGAGAAAATATTTACATTAGAAATAAAAAAGTTTGTAGTTCTCAACTAACTCAAAATTTATTTTCTGTGGATTGCTACAAGCACAGCGTATTGGAAAATTATAAATAATATTAGCAACTCTCTTTTATAAGGAGGCAAAACTCTTAACGTTTTCATGCACTATAAAAATGCACATATAAATAACCTACCAAGCAAATTTCCATGCAAATCTATGTATCATTTGTCACTGAATAAAATTAATTTCTGGGTGTAGCACAAGGATAGTCAGTATATCTTTGAAATGGTACAAGCTTCTCTAAATCTGAAATTCATGTGCAGAATAAACACACCCCCCAAGAAGGATAACCAACGAGTAGATAGCAGAGCCCTGGAAGGGTAACAAAGCTTAGCTACCTCACAGACTAAGCCCTCATTAGACCAGTGAACAGTGGGTCCCAAGGTGGTGACACAGCCTAGAGGGCACTGTTGTCCACATTCCAAATTTTCAAGAATCCCTAGAGAAAAGCTGTCATCATTCAGAAATATCCAAAGGCAATCCAATGTCAAACATATGATTTACACAATAATTCAGTAAGATTGTGCACACCTTCCTCTAATTTCAACCTAGAAAATGTTAAATACAAAATGAGATTCAGACAAACAAATTTTTACATTGCTTTATAAAAATCTTCAGTCTTTAACCCCTGGGCATTTCTCATGACATTACTATAAATTCTGTGGTAAGGATGACTCAAGAATGAGTTGTCCCCACATCCTATAGTGTTAAACCAGAACAAAGGTTCTAGGTGTGTCTGTAGAGCAGGGAGGAATCAGTGTGAAAGAGAAAGAAAGAAGGAGACTGAGTGACAAAATCAGGGAAAGAAATGAAAGAGGAGAAGGAGAGAGGGAGGGAGAAAAGGAAGCGAGGAATGATGTCTTGCTACTGCTGTTCCAGCAAGCTGGTTAATTGCATTTGTTTCATATATCTCCAAACACCCTGGTACATTAATTACATTCTGTAACACCAAGCTCTTCTGATTCCCTCTGTCACTTCCAGTAAGCAATTTAATTATATTTCTCCTAGAAATGCATTGATTTAGGACAAAAAGAAAATCTTGCTGATCTCTCCATAGTCTAATGTATAGTTTATTCCTGCACTTATTACTGAGATATATAAAATCATGGTTGATTAGGACACACTATTTAAAAAGCCATATCAAAGTCTCACTATAACTGAGCACATTGGGCATATGTAAATTTTTTCTGATGGTAACATAAATATATTGTAAAGGTAGATGCATTAGAGAAGAAAACACATGGAGAAGGATTATAGATATTGCCATAGTATAATTCACATGCTCAATTCTTCAACACCCACCCCTGTCCTCAGGAGGGTAAGAGATGAGCAGTGTGCACACATGAATCCCTTGCCTACCACTGCTGAGGGGCAAAGGTACTCATGTAGTCCGTGATTGAAAACAACCACTTGACAGTAGGTAAACTCATCCGAATTGCCTCGTGTTTACAGAAGGGCTTCCTCTTGGAGTGCCATACTTCAGGTTCTCTGCAGCAGCAGCTGCAGAGAACAAAGTTAGCTCCCACAAATGGGCAGAAGCAGGCAGTGTCCACCGTGCAAACGCTAAAGAAAAGTTTGTGTGGCAACTCGCTATTAGGATGGCTCAGACATCTGAACTGGCCCACCTCACATTCTTTACAAATACGGTAACAGGAAATCATAAGGATTACAATCCACAGAAGTGTGGAGCGATGCTCTCTGGTCCTCTCTATCCCGATAGTTTCTACTGAGATGAAAATTAATGTTCCTAAGAGACTCATACCAACTACTCTTTGTCTTTCTTTTTTATGAAAACAAAGCATGTTAATGATCATTTCCACTCTTCATTCAACAGAGCTATAGAAAAGAGTTTGGAACATTCTCAGAAGAAACCAAATCAGAACAAAAGACAGGAGAAGCAGAGGCAGAAAGCTGTCTGCCGGATGGACTGGCTCACCCTACAGGGAGACACCTAGGGCACCTGTTTCAGGTCCCCATTGTGTTTGCCCACTAGGAACAGAGCTGAGTGCTTGCGCCTGCGGCCACTGGGAGCTGCTGCCACCCCCACGCTGGAGCACCGCCCGCTCTCAATCTGGCAGTTTACTCTGCGATCTAAATCCTTATTCTGATTTTACGGTAGGCGGGGGGTCACCTGGCTCACAGGTGAAACACTAATCGCTGAGCTCGCCAGTCTCAGATTCCCCACTCACCGAACCCACCGCGTAGCGTGTCGCTCTACTTCTCCACTTGATTTTCTAACCTAAAGTTTCAACCTAGGAACAAACACCAAATGGAGAGCAGGCAAATCAGTAAGACACTCCCGCAAGAGATTTACTTCCACGTCTCTCTTTTTCCAACAAAAACTGACAGCTCGTCATTTATTACCCAGCTCTTCAATCAATTATAGCATTAACAATAGGTGACTACTAGCATGTTCCACGTATACCAGTTTAGAAACAAAAGATTTAAATCTTAAGCCCCTAAGAGGTCCCGCCTGTCCAAAACAGGCTAGCAGACACAATGTTATTTTATTTAGAACCCACATCAAGCTTAGGAATGAATGTTGGCGAGGAGGGAGTAAAAGATTTTTTAAGAGGCATTTCAAACTTACCATCAACTCGAACATACAAAAATCCACAGAGCAGTAGTGGTGTAAACATCAGCAGACTCATTTTGACATATTAAAAAGGATCCAGATTGTGTAAGAAACCAATCCCAGAGAGCGGACTACAAAAATAAGTATCAAAAAAAGAGGTAGTTCCAAAGTTTAGACTTTCCTGGACAGTAATTAGTCAAGAAGAGCAAATCGCAAGATCAGAAGGGGTTGGTGGAGAGGTCTTGAGTAGGACACAGGTAGATCCATTCAAATTAACGGAGGGTAATTCAAAGGCTGCTGCATTTCCACTCCGGGTTCCTAAATTCCCACAAATGCACCCCAGTCAGAGGGATTAGTCAAGTGTGTCTAACCCTCTCTCCTTAGGGTCCATTGCAATCCAAAGTCAAGTTCTTTCTTCAGAAGTCAAAAAGATGAAGATGAAGGGGGAAGGAAAAAGACCTAATTCCTAGAAAGTATTCCACAAACTTGCCAGCGCGCTGCCGAAAAACCATTGGCCTGCCTACCGCTCGTCTTCCCGGTCTCCTCTCTGTAGCAGCAACACGTCCCGGAGTTTTGTTTTTTTTTTTTTTTGGTTTTTGGTTTTTGTTGTTTTGTTTTTGTTGTTTTTCACTTAACTTCCATAACAAGGATGTGTCAAAGCAGCGCTCTGCAGGCGGGCCTCTCCTGTGCAGCCTCGGCGCCTCCTCCACCTCTCTCCTTTCCAAAAGAGAGGAAAAGGGAAATCAGGACGAGCCGGGTGGAGAATCTGAACTCCTACGTGGTGAGGAAGCGGGAGGGAGGCAAGCAGCGGAGGAGGAGAGCGGGGTGGAGGGAGGGGCGGGCCGCGGCTGCGCCACCCCTCGGAGCGCTCCTGCACCGCGGCGGCGCGGGCGACCGGCCGGGATCGCCGCCCGGAGAGGGCGCGCGGTGCAGCCGGCAGAAAGCCCCGCGTGCTCAGCCGAGCGCCCGCCTCCTCCGCACGGCCGCGCTGGCGGGACTCGGAGGAGCGCAGCGCCCAGGCGGGAGCGAGGGGAGCGGTGGGCCGGCGAAGGTGGGGAGCCCCGGCTGCGCCGAGCTCACCCCCTGCAGACTCCGCCCTCGCGGGGGGCAGCGACCCCCTGGGGACTGGGCCGGGCCTGCGGAGCCGAGTCCTGGGGGGACCGTGTGAGCCAGCAAATGTGGAGCCCGCCGGCTACGGGGCTGAGGCCACCGGGCAGCTCCGGACCCCTCCTCCTGCCGCCTCGGGAGGGGATAGGTGGGCTGCGGCCTCCCGCGCCTGCCGCGTCCCGTTTAATGGGCAGGTAATTTTCTCTGTGAGTGATTTCGTGCGAGCCCTTCCTAATTATTCATCCCGCCGTCTGCCAGGCTCGCACGCGCTTCTGGAAAAAGATCATCCCCGAGCGCCCGGAGCGCAGCCTCGTGACCCGTTAAAATCACACACTCACTCTCTCCGCCCTTTAGCCGCGGCAGCAGAGCGAGCGGGAGGCAGAAAGGGACGCAAAGGAAACCGAAGCAGCTCCGATGGGGAAAGCTGTGTGTGGGTACTTCCTATGCGGGAGGGATAACGGAAAAGAGAAATCCTGGAGGAGGGCGGGGTGGCGGCTCCGCTCCCGGGTCCTAGTTAGCCTGGCTCGCGGGGCTGGGGACGCAATCCCCGGGAGAGGAACGGGTGGCATCTCCGCTCCATCTCCTCTCCTAGTCGCCTCGTGACCTCTCAGACAGAGGACTTTGCGGCGGCTCGTGCGCTGCCAGCGAGTTCAGCAGAGGACACTTAGGAGGGGCAGCAGAGACCTCGGAGGCGAGGGGAAGCTGGGGTGGGGGTAGAGGGTCCGGGCCCCTACCACCCGCGTCGGGGACCTCGGAAGGAAGGCAGACCGACCCAGGTTCTAAGCGAGGAAAGGTGAGCACCTAAGTGAGCTAATGGAAGCCGAGAGAAAGAAATCATCCCGGAGAGGATAAAAGCACCCACATTAAGGCAAACCACTATTAAAAGAGCATCATTCAGAGCCAGGGATGATGCAGGAAGCCCACGTTAAATCAAAGGGATGCCAGTGTCGGCGGTGCCCCGGCGTGGCCGGCCCACGTGTGATCACAGGCTCGCTGGTGGCTGCAGGAGGCTCGCTCGGATGACTGGGAGACGGCCTGCGGGAGCTCTCCGGGCGCGGAGCCGCAGCCGTCCGAGAGTGAGTCTTTAGTTCCCCCTACTGGAAAATACTGGGAAAGATTCTCCGCATCTGAGGACTCTAGAAGAGAGCCTTTTGTCTAGATGGACGCGTTTGGGTGCTGCCACTTGCTCTCCTGGCCCTTCCTCGTACGGTGTGGCGTGTTTAAAAAAAAAATACATAAATAAAAATAAGAAAAAAAGGCCGGCGACGTTCACGTTCGAACAATTTTGAGGATTCTCACGACTTCCCACTAAGCTTGAAAGTTGTAATGAAATACTCTTGCAAAAGAATAAAACAGGCCGTTTTTCTCGTGGAACATTAAAAGTAATTTCAGCACACTTTTGATCTGCAGTATTGAGTTATAAAGAAATAAACGTACGTTAGTACCGGAGTTAAATCACTGGAATTTTCGCAGTAACGATTCTGAATCAGCACCAGATGGGAAAAGACTAACCTAATAGAAAGAAGTTCACTGTCCCCTTCCTCACGCCTGTCCCCTTCCTTACACTCGTCCCCAAAATTAAGAGGTCTAACGTAGATACCACTGTGAGCTACAAAGCTCCAAAAATTTTGGGAGCTAGACGACTTCTGGCTGGCTGGCACAGCAGGGAATAACTGATTGTCGTGTTAAACATTTGGAGCAGGCTTAAAGTCTTGAGGATTGCAAAGTTTACCCCATTCTTGTAAATAATGTACCCCGTGCCTTAGCCATATTTCTTATTTAGGAGCCATTTAAACATTCCCCGAAATTAGCATCTCCCTAATAATATAGTTTTGGTGTTCAAAATCATGTAAACTTTTAAGATCTTCAATGTTAAGGTGAATTTTGGAAAGGAAAACAAGAAATTTTTTTTCAGCTGAAATTTTCTTAGGGTTCTTCATTTTTCAGGCGAAAGATAGAGTCTGTTTTATATTGGATAGCTCCACCAACTGTAAGCACCTTAGTGACCTAAAAAAATACTTACAGACAAGGGCCAGCCAAATAGCTCAGCGGATTAAAGCGCCTGCAAGCAGACACAGGGACCCGGGGTTCGATCTCTGGGTCTGCCATGCCGGCGCCCTTCCCAGGGTGCGCTGAGCCCACAAGACCCTTCTCTATGTATGGGAGGCAGGAGGGTTGGGCTGGAAGAGATCCAGCCAAACATTTCCATAGTCCCCTAAGAAAGGGGGGGGGGAAGGAAAGTTTAGGTCGGTCTGATAGTTTAGCAGACTAAAGCCCGCAGGGACCTGGGTTTGATTCCTGGTGTGCTGTGCTGGCCCCACCCCTGGGGCACGCTGACACAGGATTTCAGACTGGGCATGGTGGTGCATGCCTGTAATCCCAGCACTTGGGAGGCTGAAAACAGGAGAATCACAAGTCTGATCTACTTAGCGAGACCCTGTAGATCCTATAGACCCTGTCCTGAAATACAGAAGTAAATAAATGAATGAATAAATAAATAAAATTAAAAAGGAAAGTTTAAAATCTGAAGTTTCAAGTAGAAGTTAGAAATTCAACTTTACCAATGTATTAAGTAAAACATTTTAAAGATTTTTTTTTTCATTAAGACAAAAAGCCACAAAAAGTGGCTTTGACAGAGTTCTTCCCACCTCGTGTCAGCTATTCAGAGGTTTTTAACATATGGAACAGCAAATGGGGATTTGATTTCAACTTCTTTGCTACCGTGAATTGCATTTACTTTTCTAAACAAGCAGCTGAATAGAGAAATATCCGAGGAAATGGGGGCAGCTTTTGTGTAAAACTGGAATGGAGTTATACTGAACTCCAAGTGTGCCCAATAGGTGTGTATTTTAATACAACTAATGACAGGTGTATGTAACAGCTTTATAAGTAACCCTAAGGAGAGAGATGATGAAAGGGCCTTCTTAGTGACTCAGTTTCTGGAACTTTATAAAGTAACAATGTGCATGCAAGCTGTACAACACAGGATGTAAAATCTCACATATTTCTTTTCCACACCAGATTCCTCAGTGATGCGGTATAAACTCAAAAACCTCACTCCGGGTTTTTTCGCTTTCCAATGAGTTCTTGTCATAATTGCAAGGCTGTATATATGGAAAAGTCAAAAGTTCTACCCATAATAATAACTTTATTATGTTACAGTGAGCACATAAGAGGTTTTAGAAATCGGTGTAGTTTTCAAAAATTCATTATGCTGTTAAATCCCTATTGAAAAAAACTTTGGTGTTTATTCCCATTATCCAAATGAGAAAATGGAATGTGTTTGGCAGATGTTAGCGAAAAGCACAACTTCCTTAAATACAGAAGGGACTGTAAAATTTGTGTTCCTGCTGTGGACTATGTTTCCTGGATTGCTCTGCAGTGTCTGCAGTGCAGAAATATTGTAACTCTTTAAAATTTGCTTTGATTGATCAGTATAAGAAAATTCCTGATGCGTTAAAACATAGAACTATATACTTTTTTATTTTTCATTCTTTGTTGTTCTTGTTTTTTAGTACTGGGGATCAGATTCAGGATCTTGGGTTTGCCAGGCAGGCGCTTATGCCGCTGAGCTATCTCCCCAGCCTTTACAAAATCGTATTTTCAAAACTGAATAAGTTTTTCAAGCCGGAATAACACATCATCATTTGTTACCTGTTCAGTGCAAGGGTTGCTGTATGATGCTATCTCCCATACGGTATGAAAAGCCACATTTAATAAAGTGTGGTGTTTATTACACACAAAAGACACATGCCGAAAGAGTGAAGCGTCTGTGCCATTTGTGCTGTCTCATATTGCTTTGATTCTGTCTTTGTGCTTGTTATTTGTTCTACTTTTTGTTTTTACTTTTTAAAATGAAAACAAATATAAATGAAGGATTAACAAACCTGAGTTTTGTCTCATCTCTTCCTACATTATTTTTTTATAAAGGTCCACCTTTTCAAAAAGGATTTGAAGGAAACAAAGTCAGCATCATTTTTCTAAAATGTATCTGATTTCAATCAATCCATTTTTCAGTATTTACTAGTATTTGTTTAAAATTCTTAAGTAGTCACTAAAATTTATAAAAAAGGCTTTCTTATGTACAAAGGTGTTTTGTGCTTTATGAAGTTATTAAAATTACCTATTTATAATTTGGGATTTAAGTTAAACATACCAATGTTTCATTTAAAAATTGTGTGTGTGTGTGTGTGTGTGTGTGTGTGTGTGTGTGTGTTTTCTTCTGCCAAGTATCTGCCAGATATTGTGAAGAAGGAAGTATCATTTCTCTCTTTCTTTTTCTTGTTTTGTATTTTAGGGAAGGATCTACAGGGTGTTCAGGGTCTCACTACTATATCAGACTTAGAGTGATCCGCCTGTTTACAGCCTCCCAAGAACTGGGATTACAGGTGCAGGTGTGCGCCACCACGCCCAGTCTCAATCTCCTTCTCAGTGCACCCCATGGGCGGGACTGGCATGGCAGGCCTGGGGATTGAATCCTCAGCTCTTGTGCCTGCTTGTAGGCACTTTAATCTGCAACTATTTGGCCGGCCCTCTCATTTTCTCTAGAATGAAAATCAACTTGAGAAAACATTTTTGTATCATGAGAAATTTAATG